ATTTTGTGAGGCAGATATGGATCAAAATGTGCACACAAAGAGGATCTTAAGATGTTTTGAAATATTATCTGGGATGAGAATAAATTTCCACAAGAGTGTGGTGTGTGGTTTTGGTGTGGATGAGAAAACTTTGGTTTCTTTCACTGATATTCTGAATTGCAAGGTTCATGGCATGCCACTCAAATTTTTCGGTCTTCCCTTGGCTGCTAATCCAGGAAGGAAATCAACTTGAAAGCCAGTTTTGGATAAGGTAAAATCTAAGTTGGCTGGGTGGAAGAGAAGGCTCATTTCCTTTGCAGGTAGATTAACTACGATTAAGTCTGTACTATCTAGCCTGTCTATTTATTATCTATCTTTGTTCATAATCCCTAGTGGAGTGGTTAGAGAAATTGAAAGGCTTGAAGCTTCTTTTCTATGGGATGGGAATGGTTTAAAGAGGAAGGTTCATCTGGTGAAATGGGCTGAAGTATCAAAAAAAATATGAATCAAGATGGACTGGGGATTAAGAGAATTAAGGATATCAATGCAAGCTTACTTATTAAATGGTGGTGGAAATTTGGAAGTGAAGTGAATGCTCTATGGAGAAGATTGGTGTGCAGTAAGTACATGATTAAGAAGGCTAATTAGCTCCCACCTATGAACTCATCATCTAGACATCCTAGAATCTGGAGATATGTTCTTGCAATTGCAGGTCATAATCAATCTCTGGTGGAGTTCTTTTTGGGGCAGTATCAGATAAAGTTGGAAATGAGGATAGAATTAAGTTTTGGTTTGATAAGTGGGTTGGAAATAGGTGCCTTAAAGATGAGTTCCCTAGACTCTTTAGTTTGTCAAATGACAAGGAGGGTTTGATAAGTGGGTTGGAAATAGGTGCCTTAAAGATGAGTTCCCTAGACTCTTTAGTTTGTCAAATGACAAGGAGGGCACACTGTCACATTTTTCAGAGAGGAATCCAGTTTGGTGGAGTGGAACTTTGCCTTCAAAAGGGTGTTATATGATTGGGAGAAGGCGGAGGTCACTAGGTTGGCTACAGCTTTAAGGGAGACCCTTTCTCTAAGTCCTGATGTGGAAAACTGTCATGTTGGGAAGATATCTATAGGTTCAGTGATTCGCTTTTGGGCCCTCATCTCAAAATTTGTAAGTTTGTATGGAACAATGGTATTTTCCCCAAAGTTCAATTTTTTTGGTTAGTTGGTTGGCTTGGAGGAATAGTGTTAAAATAAGGGCTTTTTTACAGCATGTTGGTGTCCTTAATAGTAATGCTTCTGCCTTATTTGCTTTTTGCAAAAGTGAAAATGAATCTGCTATTTATGTTCTATTACACTGTCCATTTTCATGGAAAGTTTGGTCTAATTTGCTGCTTTGGTGGGGGTGTTTATGGGTGGTGCCAAAGTCTATTGATAGCTTATTTCAATGGTGGTTAGGTTGGAATCATAAAAAATTGGTTAGGAGGTTGTGGAGGGCCTTACCTTCTATTGTTCTCTGATCCATTTGGAAGTTAAGAAATGATTGTATATTTAATAGAGTCCAGCCTAGTAGGTCTGAGTTATGTGAGATTATTAAGGTTAGATTTGCTTTTTGGGTTAAAGCTTCATCAAAGGGGATCATGTACTCTGTCATGGACTTAATCAACAATCTGGAGCAGATTAAGGACTACAGCTGAGGGCTAATAGCTGGTTTGGTACCTTGGTTTGCCACCATTTGTTGTGATTTATTCTGTCATTTGCTGGTTGTTGTTTTGGTGTTGTAGGTGGTTTTTTTGAGTCTGTTGGTTTGCTAGTTTAGGCAACATCTATTTCACTCCTGGCTATGTATCTATTTCTCTGAGTGCTAGTTTGCTGGTTTGGACAACACCTGCTTGTCTGCCACCATTTGCTAGTTGTTGGTTTGGTGTTTTGGCTGGCTTTTTGGAGTCTGTTGGTTTATTACTTTACTGGTTTGGGCAACACCTGCTTCCGTCCTGGCCATGTATCTATCTGCTGACTGTGTATCTATCTGTCACAGGGCTGCTGCCTCTGTGCCTCTATGCCTTTGTGCTGTGCATCTGCTAGTCCTGCTGTTGTGTTTCTGTGTATTTGTTGGTCCATCACCAACAGATACTTGGTTCGGTGTTGTGTCACTATGTTGGCCTTTGCATCGTCCCCCTTTGCATCATTCTCCTTATTGATGTCTTATTCTCTTTCTTGTAAAGTTTTTTCTCATCAATAAAAATTTTTTGTTGATAAAAAAAAAAAGAGCAAGTGATTATTTTCTATCAAAAATCTTGACGATCATTAGATTGAATTATTTAGAGACAAAATACAAAATTCAAGGATAAAATTAGAATAATTAAAATATAAAAACCAAATTGACATGAAAAATAAATTACATGGACTATATGAATGTAATTTATCCAATAATTAAAAATGGTGAAGATGTTTTTTAGCCATTCGGCATATTCTCATCACATAATAGTATACAACGAATGCACTTTATTTTGTCGTTGCATTCTCTCTTACATGCACATGAAATCTATAAAAATAAAGTCCACATATATGCAAGGAAAAGGAGTACACCATCGTGGTGTACCTGTTACACAAAATACTTCCTTCTTCATCAGTTAAAGTAGCGAGAGCAATGAGAAATTATTCAATATCCATATAATATGACTATGCGATGCCCTAAAATAGTTGCAATGAGTGGATATTATATTATCTATCATTTTAAGCTAGTGATTAAAAAATAAAGTAGAGTGACCTATAGAGTGATATTTTGTTATTGATTTGTGACATAGCAACATGGTGCATTGTGGACATCAAATAATTTTTTGAATAGTAATATATCCAAACAAATAAAATTTACAAACTTATACGACAGTGGCACCTATCATGTTCGCATAATGGTCACATTTCATTTTCTAAATTTTTCTTACTGCACGACACCTCAATCACTTTGTAAGAGCATCTCTGACCTCATGATCATATAATAAAGCTATAATATGATAAACAACACAGAAAACATTTGGTCTCATATTTGAAGAGTTTTAAAAGTTAAAGAAATTAATTTTTTTTATTCGAACTTTTTGTAAAGAAAATTTTAAAATGTGAGAAAAAAATCTCAATTAATATACAGACAATAAGATCCACATGGTAGATATAAAGATTTGAACTATTGATCTCTTAATAATGTGCATGTATTTTGGCCAATCAAGCTTACCCCGTTTATTTAGAAAACTTAACTTTAAGAAAAAAAGAGTATCATTGGAGTGTTCACTTAACAAAATAGTTAGACAAAAATATAAAATATATATTTTTCATGTACTTTTATTAGTCAAAACGTATGATAATGTTTGAAAGGTAATGCTATACAAACATATTTTTTATACAAAAAAATTGATATAAAATGACATGACTATTTGTGATCTATTCATTTTTATTCAAAACATTAATTATTATGGCTCACAATTACAAACATGCAATTACCACATTATTTTGGATGTACTTCACATATACAAATTTTGTTTATAAATCACTTTCCATGTTCAAATTATTTTGAAAAAAAATTATTTTTTTAAAAAAAGAAGATAAATTACATCGACCTCTCTAGAGATTTAGAAAAAAAAATAATAATAAATTACATAATTTTAACATAATTATATTGAGCTCGCTTGAGTTTTTAATTCACATAACACTTAACTCATTTTTCATCAATAATTTGTTAGTTATATAAATAATAATAAAAAAAGCATATTTTCATCTCTCTTATATAAAAATGTATATTTTAGGTTTTTGATTTTGTATTTTCACACAATTTGTATTAGTTTCGGTCTATTTAACTATATTAAAATAAAAATTAGTATTATTACATTAAAATTATAAAATTTATTATATTTTTTTAGTATAATTTACCCTTTAAAAAAAATTTATTTGTATAACAATTTTGTTTAAAGCATTGTCATTCAAAACAAAATAAATAAATAAATTAAACGTACTTTTTAAATCAATTAATTAAGATATTTAAGATAATACTCTCTTTTATATTTTTCAACTATCAATAAATTATATCACTTATATATTATTAAGTCTACTGTGATGCTTTCTGCAATATCCTCTTTATTGATGTTTGCTTATCATATTTTGTATGTTTTTCATCAATAAAATTTTTCTTTTTGCTAATGAAATATATTATTAAATAAATTTACAAAGTGAATTTATATATATATATATATATATACACTAGCATATTATCCGTGCTATGCACGGATTGTGTTTACAATTATCTATATATGTGAATTGTGATTTTTAAATATTTTTTTTTATTTTAAATGTCTTCTTTTTTTTCTTTTTTATATTATATTAAAGTTTAATATTTTGATAATAATCATATGTGTTGGACTTTTCAAAGAATTAAATGTCTTTTTTTTATTATATTATATTAAAGTTTAACATTTTGATAATAATTATATGTGTTGAACTTTTCAAGAATTTTCTTTTATACTTGTTCTTAATACATTAAAATGTTATTATGAGGGATAATAATCATATGTGTTGGGACTTTTTAAGGAATTCATATGTATTGGATTTTAAAGAATTTTTTTTTTATACTTGTTCTTAATTCATTAAAGTGTTATTATGAGGGTAAGACTTGGGAGTTGGGAGAAGTTAATAAATGCTAAGATTTTTTTTTTTAAATCAAAAAATCAAAAAATTTAGATTAAAAGATTGGAGCTCTCACAAGATTTCGGATTAAAAATTCCTTTTTACTTAATATATAGGGGTTGTTTGGGATGATCTAAATAAGTGCATTTTTTGAATTTTTATGAAATATGGATTGGATTTGAGTTGGGTTTGAAGTGATGTGTTAGAGAGATGATGTGAGTTAAATAAGATAATATGACTTAGATAGGATAGTAACTTTTTGACTTTTTATCTTTTCCAAGATATGTCAAACTTGGCCATAGTATAGATATATATATTTGTTTTATATAGATGAAGATGTGCACCCACTTTCGCACGCGGACACGACCCCACACACTCACGCACACGAACACGCATCCTCACACAAACCCTAATTTCCAATGCCCTAGCTTAGCCCTACTGCACATGCATTATTTCTCTCTCATTTCTCAAACAGAGAGACAAAGTGAGAGAAAAACTAGGAAAATCATAGTTCCCCAAGACCCCCTTTGCCACTCCCACTCATCTCCACAACCTAAGCAACCATCACGACAAAAGAGAGAGCAGCTTTCTTGGTTTTCTTGTTCATCACCATCACCATAATCATCTCTTCTCTCTTTGTATGCTCTCTTTCTCACCTCTTTTACCTCTCTCTTTCTGTTACTTTCAGCTGTCAAGTCAAGTCTCTCTTCATCTATCTTCTCTTCCCAGCTTCAGCTCCAGATAATTCTTGGGCCCTTCAACTGATCCATCAACGCCCTTCTTAAATCTCTTCATACCCACCCAAACCCAATTCAATTTAGATCTCTCTGAGTCAATCACACAATCACCTTCTGTCCCCATCTCGATTTCTCCACCCAATTTTCTCTCAATCCAAACATGTCGAGCAGGTGGTGGGCCGGCCAGGTAGGTCTTCCAGGAATCGAACCATCATCATCGGCAGCTCTCAACAAACTACCAGATCTGGGCATATCCACCACCGCCGCCAGCTACGGCGGAGAAGAAGAGGAAGAAGAAAGAGACAACAACAGCGACGACCCAAGAGAAGGCGCAATCGATGTCTCCAACCGCCGCCCCAGAGGCCGACCGGCCGGTTCAAAAAACAAGCCCAAGCCCCCGATCTTTGTGACCCGGGACAGCCCCAACGCTCTCCGAAGCCACGTCATGGAGGTATCGAACGGCTCAGATGTAGTTGAAAGCATAGCACAGTTCGCTCGAAGAAGACAGAGAGGCGTGTGTGTGCTCAGTGCGAGCGGTACAGTAACGAACGTGAATCTCAGACAACCTTCGAGCTCAGTGATGGCGCTTCAAGGCCGGTTCGAGATTCTCTCTTTAACCGGTTCATTCTTACCAGGTCCAGCCCCGCCCGGCTCGACCGGGCTCAGTATATATTTAGCTGGTGGGCAGGGACAGGTGGTGGGTGGTGCAGTTGTGGGTTCGTTGGTAGCGGCTGGGCCGGTGATGGTGATTGCGGCGACGTTTTCGAATGCTACGTATGAGAGGCTGCCTTTGGAAGAGGAAGAGGAAGGTGGTGGTGGAGATCAGGGGCAGGGTGGTGGTGGTGGATCGCCGCCGGGAATGGGCGGTGGTGGTGGTGGAGGGCAGAATCAGCAGCAGCAACATGGGTTGGGGGAGCTGTCGTCGTTGGCGGGGTATAATTTGGCGGCAAACATGGTTGGGAATGGAGGAGGAGGAGGACAACAACAACAACAACTACAACTGAACCATGATGCATTTGGTTGGGCTCATGGTGGTCGTCCTCCTCCATTCTAGAGGTTAAAAAAAAAAATAAAAAATTAAGGGAGAGAATTAGAGATGATGAGAATTTATCATATCTATATTTTTCTTTTTTAGTTCATTTTAGGTAACCAAAAATAATAATAATAGTAACATTAAGAGAACTTTTATCTGAATTCTACTGCCAAAAAAAAAAAAAGAAGTATCGTGCCGTTCTAAATTTTGTTTTCTGTTTTCTTTTTTTTAAAGTAAATTAGTTTAGTGAAAAAAAAAATAAAAAAAAAACTCGTCATTTTCATACCCTTTTCTTTCTTTTTATGAAATTTTTTAAAATAAATAAATAAATATATATATATATATATATATGAAAACGAAGCGAAATAGACAATGGTTTGTAAATATGACAATTATGTGTCCTTTTTACCCTCTTTCTCTCTCTCAAATTTTCTCTGTTCTTCATAATCAGGTCAACTGACGTGATTGTATAGTGTAGAGGAAGTTTAGGGCCTGCTTTTTGTTTTAATCTTTTCTGTGAGGATGTATAATAGGTCTTTTAATTTCTCTTTCTCTTTTGGAAATTCAAGATGTTTAGCTATTAATTGATCATTTTCTTTTCCTTTTGTTCAAGATGGTAAGGTTTCTTCATTTTAGATTTTCTCAATTTGTTTAGATTTTGTGTCTTGAATGTGTACTTTGGTGTAATTAATAAAATTGATCCTTCTACAACTATAAACCTCTTAATTTATTTTAGTTTGTATTTGGATTATGGATTTGGATAAGAAAATGAAAAGGATGCATGAAATAGTAGCTATATTTTACCCATTTTTTCATTTACATTTTCAAATTTCTACCAAATTCTATAATACAAGCACTATTTTTTCATAATAAACTGACTTTTGCATAGTGATTTAGGACTAAGTAAGAAAATCGAAAAAAAATGCAAATCAAACCAGTCCAGATCAATTCAGTAGGTTTGGTTTTGTTTTGTTTTTCTAATTCGTAGTTCGTTTCTGCTGTGAAAAATTAGAAAATCGGTGTTAGTGGATTTAAATCAAACCGAATGGTATAATTTAAATCATATATCATGCATCATGATGCATACAACCTTAACCTTTTATATGTAAAATTCAAACCCTAATCTCATATATCATTATAGTACTGTCTCTTTTTGTTATATTTGTTTAAGTCAATGGTTGAACAATGTGTATTTTTATGTTTTGAAAAATTTTAATAGATTAATGTTAAATAACATGTTTACTAAATGGTATGTTTGTTTAACTGGTGGACATTATGAGAGTAGTTTGTTTAGTGGAAATGTTATTATTATTTTTTAAATTTATGACACGATGAATTTTTTGAAAAAGGTCGCAATTTTTCTTGTAAATAGATGGCGTGAAACTGTAATTTTAAACCGAACTAAACCATATTTACATATTTTGGTTATAATTTGTTCCATGATTTTAATGATTTAGTTTGATTTCGATTTTAATAGAATAATGGATTAGATTGATTTCGGTTTCATCCCGAACCAAACTGGAGCATCCTATAGTGATTTACCAAAAAATGAAGAGTTTGGTCTCAAATATCACTGCAAGATTGTTCATTCTCCCTGGGATATAATTTTTTCTAATTTTTTTCTTCCCATACAAAAATCACATTCAAAGAATTAATAACCCTATGCCATTTAAGGCTAAAGCAAAGCTTCATGAATCATGATGAATTTAATTATGTATATAAACATTAGTTGAGAATTGCTATATGTCACTAATTTGTTTTATCATTATCTATTATAAAAATATATGATAATATATTATTTGTTTTCACTTTAAAATATAATATGATAATATATCATATTAATTTATACAAATGGTGACAAAAAAACTCAGCATAATATTTTCAAAGAAAATCAATCTCTTCTTTTTCTTTTTTCCGGCTTTTTCGGAGTGTATGATTTGATGGTTCATGTGTAGTGAACCTTATAAACTAATTCTAATTGTATAATCAGATTTGATTTTCAGATTTGTGACTGAGAATTTGATCCTCTTTGGCAGTGTTAAATTAAAAAAAAAATGATTATGAAAACGAAGCTATTGGCTAAAATGATTAGTGTTTTTTACTTTTTATTTTTCCCCCACTAATATCAAAAAATAAATTATGAAAACGAAACTACACAGAGGAAAGTGTTACTTGAAGTAAATGATTAAATGAACTGAAAAAGAAGAGAGGGGTAGGCGTTTATGTAAAATCAAAAGAAAATGTTATACTTATCAAATTTTTATACAAAATTTATAAAAAGAATGATATAACAGTGACATTTTAAAAATATAAGTTATCTTAATAATTAAAGTGAGAATTAAAATTTGTTACATCATTTTGTATTTATTTTTTGTATAATTATTTTGTTTATATTCGTATTCAAAAACTTTGGCTAAACTTTTTTCTTAGCATGACTATTGTTGTGTGCATAAATTAATAAAATCATATGTGGGATTCAAGGGTAACATGAATTTGTCTTTCATTTGTATTTTATATCATTTTTCATCACACTTAAATCAAAAAAAAAAAAAAAATGGTTGGGTGACTTGTGCCATTTTCCTGTCTTTGTCGTGACCACAATGCATTGGGGGCAAGGATCATGTTTTTTTTTTTTATCAAAAAAAAAAAAAAACTTTATTGATCGGAAAAAGGATAATGTTTAGTTAATTCTACATGATTTGCAATGAATTGGGAGGAATTAATACACGATTTTATTGATCGGAAAAAGGATAATGTTTAGTTAATTCTACATGATTTGCAATGAATTGGGAGGAATTAATACAAATCGTGTAGAAAAAAATTAAAGAAATACAACTAATTAATTTTTAATGATCACTTGGCAATGAGAAAGTTTCATGTGTAACAGATACACCAGCATACAAATATTATAATTATAAATAAATTAAACTCACTCCCTAAAGTTTTTTTAAAAAAATATAGTTAGTCTCGCACATTTGACATAATTACATTGACCTTACTTCACTATTTTAATTCACATAACATCTGAGCCATTTTTCATCAGTAATTCATTAGTCGTATAAATAATAAAAAAAATGTAATCATCTATTTCCTATTAAAATGTATACCTATCTTTGTTTATTTCAGCATCTACCCATCATTGACATTAGTTTCGATCAATTTAACTAAACAAAAAGAGAGGTCAGTACAATTATGTCAAAAATATATAATTAATTGTATTTTGTCCAAACCTTAAGAGAGATGAGTGTAATTTGCCCTATCATAATTAAATAGTTGATGATATTCAAATGCATAATTTGTTGTCTGTTATGATACTATGATAAACTATTGATCATTAACTCATTTAAAAATTAAAACACGCGAAAAGAAAGGTTTTTATTTTATTTTTTCTCTTTGTATCCTCAACACTTAAGACACCAAACCAATGGCACAGTTCATTTGTAGGTAAAAAGTTGGTGAAAACTAACAATTATTGGAAGCAAAGAATATTATATCAAGTGAGAGGAAAGGTTTAGCAAGTCAAGATTTAGAATGAGGCATGCCAATCTAGCTATCTCACCTATCAGACTCGGTGGCACAAAGTGATATGACCATGGCATCTTTTTTATAGTGGAACCAAACTACGTCACTTACCATAATTTTGATCAAACAAACAAAGTGATTTTTGGTATGATATTTGTAATAATAAGATGTTTTGGTGACACATAATCAAAAGTTATATGCCAGTCCAAACCATAAAATAGTTATTTGAAAACTCTTTCAAGCAATGCGACTTCCCCACTTTTTTTGTACAGAATAAACAAATCACTTTTTTTTTTTTTTTTTTTTTTTTTACTTTTGGTATCTCTAGACTGATGAAACTACTGTTATAAAACTGGATAGAAAATAGATTAGAATTAAAATTTTCAAATTTTATAGAAGAAGAGAGAGAAGAAAGGGAGAAAAGGGATACCTTCCATATTAAAATATATTATATTACTTTCATTGATAATAGCTAAAAATATTGTCCTAGGCTATTATTGCGATTTGGTGTTTAGATGCATTTGTAATACATATCTAACAACTTTTTTTTCTTTTTTTGTCACCTTTTGTCGGTAAAACAAAACAAAATGAAAGAAAGAAAGAAAGAAAATCATTTATTTCCGAATATAGTTGTTATTGTTGTTGTTGTCATTGTTGTTTTTTTGGTAACATAATCAAGTAGGTTTATAATTGAGAGGGTCCTTGGTCCCATTAGTAAACAATAAAAATTCTGCTATTAATATTAGGAAAATATTTGGTACCTCAAAATTTTGTGGCTCAAATGGCTCAAATCTGTCAAAACGACGTCGTTTTATACTCAAAATCTGTCAAAACGACGTCGTTTTGAGCCATTTAAGCCATTTGAATTACAAAATTTTGAGCTACCTACCATTGTTGTTAATATTATTAGAGTTACAAATAATGTAATTTGCTTTGTCAATGCGATGACATTGTTTTGCTTGATTTGTTTGTTTGTACATCACTGTCCAAATTATATTTTTAATATATAGTAAGCAAGTGGTACCTAGCTATTACATGTCTTTGTTTTTGCTCCGTTCGTTGGTTCCTCACCAACTAGAAGATTGAAGCTTTATCTAACTCCAAACTCTTCTTTATTGATGTAATTTACCGTACTTCGTATATGTTTCATCAATAAAGTTCTCTTTGCTGATCACAAAAAAAAAAAAAAAAAAAAAAGTGGTACCTAACTATTATTTTAAACAAGTCAAAATGGTCTGTCCATGATAGTTTCAAAAATAACAATTTCCATAATTTAATGTCCCAATAATTACTGTTTTTCCCTAAGTTTTCCCCAAAAAAATCCAAGAAAAAAAAAATCTTGACAGTTAACCTATATATGCAACTAATTTTATAGAAAAACCCGAAACAACCTTGTGTGAGTGATTTTCTGACCACACTGCCAACTCAGTAATCAGCTGGAGAGCACTGGCAGAATAGATGACACCTAGCAGACCTGTAACAAAAAAAGAAGATTCCGGTGGTGGTTCGTCCACCCGGAGGTACTTCGACAATCAAGTCAGTATATCTCTCAAAGATAGTTCACAGTTCTAAACTCACTGTTCTGAATATAAATTGCGTACCTTAGACCCATGGGGGTGCCTCTCTTTTATAGTCAACTCAATCCTAGTCCCAATAGGAGCCTTGCTTCAATGGACTTTAGTTCTCTGTTTATCCTGGACTCCTTAACAGATAAAGATAAACTCCCTAAGAGCTTTATCCTTATCTAGGATGAAATCCTTTCTCATACTAGGATTTTTGTCCCTTATCCGCTTATCCCAGATCCCGATATCTTCGGAGGTAACCTCGGCCTAGCAGAGATAACCTCGGTGTCACGACCAGGACACGTGGCATCTCGGCTGACACGTCGGCGTCACCTTGGCCACGTGTTTGTACTCAGAAAATATATCCCCACAACTGCCCCCTAGGTTCTATTACCTCGGCATCCTGTCTGAGATGATGGAACCTTTATCGGTACTTCCTGTCAGTGCATCGGCTTAAGCCGAGATCATCATCATAGGCCGATATGTCTTTTTATAGATCA